AGGAACCTGGGTGTAACTGCTTTCTTGTCTGGGAATTAGAGGGTAATATGTTGTTCAAGCAGGTTTCTAGAAGCAAAGGTACATTCTGAGGGTGTCCCTACTCCTACAAACTGAATAAGAAAATAAACTACCAATCAACCAACCAACCAACCAACCAACCAACCAACCAACCAACCAACCAACCATCTTTAAGATACTGAGGGTAACATCACAGATCTGTTTGGGGCTAAAACTTCTGGCCCATCACCATCTGTGTGGTGGTAAGATGCTGACCCCACACCCTTTTTGGGGAAGACAGAAGGGTCACAGGAATTTAATAACATTAGGCTTTTCTAAATGAAGTTAGGATGATCAATTCAGTTTTGATTTGGGTGTTGTTTGTATTTCTACTTTTGTTTTGAGGCAGGGTCTCATTATGTAATGCAGGATGGCTTGAAAGTCCCTTGTAGTCAAAGACAATAGTGAATTTCTAATCTTTCTTCCTCCACTGCGGCTGGATTCCAAGTGTGCGCTGCCTCCTAGGGTTTCTGCGGTGCTGAGGATTTAAATCCAGGGCTTCATGCATGCCTGGAAAATCTTCTAAAACTGAGCTACATTCACAACCAGGATCATAGTGTGTGTGTGTGTGTGTGTGTGTGTGTGTGTGTGTGTGTGTGTGTGTGTGTGTTTAAATTCATGTATTTTGTTCTTGCTATCACTGTTTCAGGCACACTGGCTTCCTGTCCACTTTTAGGCTATTCTGAGTTCTCTTGGTCAAGGCACCTATTGCATAACTGTTCCCCTTTCTTAGGATAATCTCACTATAGATGGTTGTGAGCCACCACGTGGTTGCTGGGAATTGAACTTAGGACCTCTGGAGCTTTGAGCCCTCTCTCTAGCCCCTTTCAGCAAATCCTACTGGTGTTCGCCACCACACGTTATTTCAGCAGGATACCTCTCTCTGGTGGTTTAGAAAGCTGCTCCATATCTTTCTGTCTCCAGCTGAAATTAGTAGTCAATAGCCCTAATTCCATTACAAAATAATCCTTGTCTCAAAAGTAGTCAGTCACATTAGGCGCCTACACAATGCCTACTCAGGTGGGTTGACATGTAATACCTATGAAATGCAAACTGATTTCATAAGCCTTAAAATGAGTGAGTCCGAAATCTCAGTGTTCTTTCTTTCCATTCATTGTTGAGACAGGAAGACCTACAATGAATTGAATTAAAGAAAATAAGTTCTTCTACTTAATGTCACTTATTTCTATTTTTAAATGTTTATTTGTGTGTATAAATGCACATATGTGTGCGTGTGGGTTTGGATAAATGCAGATGCGGGGCAGATGAGGACAGATGGTGTCTTCCTCAATCACTCTACTTATTCCTTTGAGGAAGAATCTCTCTGTGAACTGAAGCCTCATGATTCTTCTGCCAGACTGGAAGCCAGAAAATCCCAGGAATTTCTGTGTTTCTCTCCTCACTTTGAGTGTGGGTTTCGGATGCTCTTGGGGTTGGGTCTTCTTATGTGGATGCTGGAAAGCTCAGTCTGGCCTTCATCATTGTGCAGCAAGTATGTCTAACTGCGGAGCCATCTCTCAAGCCCTATGACTTGTTTCCTTTCAATACAGAGAGCAGAAAAATTGAAACTGCTTATGTAGTTCTTGCTGTATTAGTACTGCACAGTGCTGATCAAGAAGTTCAAATCAATTGCACTGCTTTCTGCTGGAGTGTAAGGAATGCTCAATGGGAAAGAGGGAATGGGGGAATCCCTGTGTTAAACTTAATCTCTGCTCTCTTTTTTTTTTTGACATTTGCTTGGCTCATTTTGTGCTTATTTGTTTTGAGATGTGGTCTCTAGTGGCCCAGGAACTTTAAGTTTCTATGTGTCTGAGACTGTTCTTAGATTCTTGATCTTCCCGCTCTGAAGCTAGAATTCAAGTATGTGTCACCATGTTTGTCTTTTTCATTGTATATATATATATATATATATATATATATATATATATATATATATATTTGACTATGTTCCTACCCTTGGTTGGTTGGTTGGTTTATTTGGAGACAGCGTCTTACTTTCTGAATCAGGCTGATCTCATATCAGCAATTCCCCTGCCTTGTGCTGGAATTATACTCAGGTGCAACCACACACCCAACTGAAGCATGCAAACTTAAAGAATCAATCCCAGGATCCCCAGGAGCCCACAATGGGTCTCAGTTAACAGTATCACACCAGTTTCTTCATTTTGATCAATGCTCCATGGTGTGTATGATGCTGGCATTAGAGAAAATTGGATGATTACAGGGACCCTTGTGATTTTGCTGCAGATCCAAATTCTTTCAGATAAAGATTTGAACAGCAACAAGGAAATAAATAACCCAAGCCAATTGCTCCAGCAGGCTGCCCTGCCCAGAGTGTCTTGTGACAGCCTGACTGGAAAGGAGCTGCTAGAAGGGTGTGGATGTCAGATTCAGAGTCTTTACCTGAGCTTCCAGGATGGTGAGGCTGTGGTGTGTGTATTGGGAATTCTTAGCCTGAGGATGGTTGATGTCATTGTTGGAAGAACAGTGAAAACTGCAAAGAACTTCCCTGAGGCCTAGAGCAGACAGGTCTTGAAGCCCCTTACCCTCAGCACTGAGCCTTCCTTCCATCACAGCTCAGTCAACAGCAGGTCAGGAAAGTTTAGCTAAGATCTAGTGGTCAACTTTGTCACAAAGGAATTTTTCGAGCCCTGCTGGAAGGTGCACACCTTTGATCACAGCAATGGGAGTTGGTGGTAGGAAAATCAGGAGGTCAGAGTCATCTTAACACTGAATTTCGGTTCATGGTCAGTCCAGATACATGAGACGCTGCTTGACTGGCCTACTTCCAATCTATATGAAAAAAAAAAACCTGACATATAAATCTATCATAGGACAAACATATTGCAAACAGTCTTTTTCCTTAGCCCACTAACTCTTATTTTTGACTGAGGAGTTGTATGAAGAAGTTTATCAAAGAGCTAAAATCAATATTTCACAAACAGCAAGAAAGAGACACAAGGATAGTCACAATGACATTGTTTATAAGAAAAGAAAACACATGTTTGGCAGCATGCTAAATGTCTACCAGTGGGAAGTTAGGCAAGTAAATATGTTGTATTCATGCTATAAGCTATGAACCTGATTGATCCGCCCAGTGTGGAATACGCACGCTCAGCCTCAGTGCTATGGAGAAAATCAAGGAGCAGATCCATGCATGCAGAAAAGGTATTTAATAGGAAGAGCAAAGTGTGCAGAAGGCTTTGATCTGGGGGCTCTAGGAGGGGGAGCATGGGGATGGAAGAGTAGTAAAGGGGAATCACGACTCCACACACATCTCAGCTGGCTCCACTGCTTTCCTGTTTAGCTTCTTACATATAAATGTATTATGAAGTAATTAATGTTAAACAATGAAACAACCTCCAAGTAGCTTGAAATGTACAGCTTCTTATTTGTTAAGTGTGTTTTTCACTGTGTTGATATATATCTCTATCTATCTATCTATCTATCTATCTATCTATCTATCTATCTATCGGGAGACAGAGAGAGAGAGAGAGAGAGAGAGAGAGAGAGAGAGAGAGAGAGAGAGACAGTGAAACATGGCAGGGGGAGATTACGTGAACCCCTTTTTGTTAGAAAACAAGACTACCAGTTCAAATCCTAGATAGGCAGAACAACAATGCCAGCTTCCCTTACTCAAAAAGACTGATACATTGATGGGATTATTAACAAAATTCATCTTGGGTCTTTCTATAGATCCTTTCAATTGCTGACTTTTTTCTATAGTTTATTAAAAACACAAACTCCAACTATATCAAAAGGAAGCATGATTATGTTAAAGACAGATCACACACAAAATAGATTCCTAGTTATAATGGTATAGAAATTATTGGCTCAGGTCTTACTCAACATCGGCTATTACTGCAACACTGGCTGGGGTGGGGATGTGCATTCTGGAATGTTACCACAGCTCAGAGACCTCTTACTGGTCACTTCATTGAAATGACCACTCTCCACCAAGGTAAGTGTGGACATAATAACAGCAAACAGATGGGGAAAACAGTAGTAGCGGTTGCCACTACTGACAGTAATTGGAGCCCATGGATATGACATGTCTTCCACTGAGTCCCACATACTTTCACAGAATGTCACTAGTCACCATGTTCTTGAGCTCAATCAAGTTTTGGAAATGCTAGGTGGGACAGCCAGACAGATTTCCAGATCCCTTCATGTCTATCATGCATCTCTAGGAAGACTGAAGAACAGAGCAGGCATTGCAATCAGAGCCCTGCAGTCACCAGGCAGGAATCAGGAAGGAGGCAGGAGAGGGCAGGGGCTGATGACCCCCTCTGGTGGTCTCACCATTGATTTGTCTTGACAAATCTTTCTAGAAAAGCTACAAATCCAAGCCCTTACAGCAAAAGTCCAGTTTTGATGTTTCATGTTTTGAGAGTCGCCTCAAATTTCAGAAAAAAAGAAAATTAAGAAATGAAAACATCACTGTATACCAAAGAAACCCTGTCTTGAAAAACCAAAAAGAAAAAAAAAATCAGTCGTTTAAATACAATCATTTTTAGAGCATAAAGGGAAGCCCCATTTGGCAAACCCAGAATGCAACTTTCTACTTTCTGACCTCTCCAAGAAACCCCATCAGACACAGACTCATTTCCTAGAACTCTGTAGAATAGCAGTGGAATGTGGACTGAGATCCACCCCTGCTCTCCTATGGGCTGAGTGTCTCTATCTGGAGTCAGGTTTTACTCAAACTGAAATAACAATTAATACCCTCTAGCAAATCTGTTCTTCTCAACAACCAAACTGGCAATGAATATACCAACACAAGAGCCTTTGATAACTCCAACGAAACCCAATATTTCATTGATTGCGACAAACTGATGCACCATGAACAATGCTTTGTCTCTCTCAAGTAAATTTATTTATAAATACAATTCAGAAACAATTAGAAATTTAGAACTCTGAATGAAACCAGTGCTAGTCCCAACTCTGTCACACCTGGACTAGGACTTCTTTCAGGCAGAGCCTGTGTCCTGCTCCCCCTTCCCCTTCATCTCTGCATTGCCTCCTTCCAGCTCCTGATTCACAGCCCAGTGGTGAGAATAGGAGCTCTGGGCATCGAGTCAGCCTGCGGGAGAAACAGCACTGATGACCTCAGTCCGTTGGTCCATTATTTTCTTCCCTGATGTCTGCCTGGTCCATTCTCACCATGGTAGCCTCTCCTGACATGATGATCCTTATCCTAAGATCAATTCCATAATAAATGTATCCTATTTCCAGAGCTATGAGAAAGCACAACTAACTCTAATGGTAATATTAGATCTCCTTCTACTATTTGTTTATGAGGGAAATTAAAACCTGCATGTTCCCATGATTTTTACCTCTTGAGAAGAATAGGGAAAGTGACATTTCAAATTATGATATGAGATAAAACATGAACATGAAATATTTCTAAATTTAGTATATTCCTCCCACCCACACTCTCTCTCTTTTTTTTTTTTTTTTAAATCTTTCAATCCTATTCCTCTTAATGGTTTTAATAATCGAGGCAGGAGTATTTCCTGTACTACCAATGACTATAATGACTAAAGGAAACTCAAAACTCTAAAATATTTGTTTGAGAGAATGTTCTGGAGTGGAGAGACTGAGGCAGTGTTGATATAAGAATTAGCATGATATGAACTGTGAGTTTGTGTATTAACAGCGGAGGGTCACCCTCTCCACCACTGCTGGATGAACGGACACAGAACATAGCCCTGCAGCTGGAAAGGCTGTTTGTGCTGTCAAATCCAGTTGCTGTCTTTGCAGTCTCAGGCAGAGGACTCCTCAGAGGACCACTGGGGCTCATTCAGTAGGAATAAGAACCGTCTTCAATAATGTAGATGTTGTCTTCACCTCAGGGCCACACAATCGCTGTGTTTTGCAAAGCTCCAATCTTCGAGACACGAAATGCCACCAAGCTGGAGAGAGAGGCGGCGGGGGGGGGGGGGGGGGGGGGGGGGGGGGGGGGGGGGGGGGGGGGGGGGGGAGGTGGAGGAGGGAAGGAGAAGCTGGGTAGCTGTCAGGTCTGAGCAGGACATTAATTTATGACATATGCTCAGGACTCCAAGAGAACCATTCAAAAAACTATGACAGCGAACAGGACCCCTGGCATTAAAGTTGTAGGAAAGTTCTTTTGTTGCTGTTTTTGCTTTTATAATAAGCATAAGACTAAGAATATTTTTTTTAAAGAATCTCATATTGGAATCGTTCGAGATACTAGAGAGGCAGATATCTTGGCATCAAATTTAGGTATCTAATCAGGATGTACATTTTGGAACTGGACTAGGAACGGGATAGATAGCTCATGTGTTTACTTTGCACTGTGACACTTTAGAAAGACTTGGAAGAGCCTGGTGACCTGAGTGAGATCCCTGGAGTCCATGGAAAATGCAGAAAGTTCCAGCTCCACGGTGTTATCCTCTGACCTCCACAGATACCACACATCGCTCCCCCCCCCCCCCGAGATAAACATCATGCACACTGTGATACAAAGTTTTCTTTATTGAAAAACTAAAGAGTATTGAAACCTGCATGGCATCTAACCCTCTAACACTAAACATGGAGTAGAAAACATGTCATCACAAAGCAGCTGTAGCTGCTGGTCTGGGGCACAATTTCAAGGCTACTGTATGCCACACATGCGCAGACACTGCGTGCACACAAACAGCAGGAACTGCCCCGGAAGGAATTTGAGGAGAGCACAGCAGGTCTTTTCACTTCCCCTATCCTGACAGCTGTGGGAGGGGCTTCCCTTGGAGAGCTCATTCCATACCCATGATCATCAGGGTGGGCACAGGGGACTGATACTTGAGCTTCTAGATCTCATGGAGGAGCAAACCAGAGAAGAAAACAGAAGAACTCAGGAGTGATGTTTTAAGAGTGGGGTTTTGTCATTTGTGGTCATTTCTACCACTGAAATGTGGAACTGAAATGAGCGTCTCCAGTCGGCCACATGGAACAAACACCTGTGCTGAGAATTATGAAGGACGAGAGAGAGCAAGCTCCACTCTGCCTGGACAGTCACACATGAAGGGAAACAGTGTAGGGTCAGGACTCTCGTGCGTCGGTGTGATGGAACTGACAGAAAAAGTCAGGAGAAAATGCCCTAAATGTGTTATGTCATGGTTACTTTAATTTTCTGGCTTTCTTTCTAGCTTTTTATTTATTTTATTTATATTTTATTCAATCATTCATTCATTCATTTGGTTTAGTCAGGGTCTCACCATGTTTCCCTGGCTATCCTGTAACTCTCTATATAGACTCACCTGGCCTGGACTCATAGAGCCCACCTGCCTCTGCCTGCTGAGTTGGAATTAAAGGTGTGAGCCACCACACCTGGCGTTATTTACTTATTTTCAGACAGAACGTTGCTAGAAGTCTGGGCTCTACTTAAACTTACAGTCCTCCTGCGTTAGCTGATTGAGTGTTGAGATAGTAGTGCGTGCCTCCTCACCCAACCTCTCCCCTCTTCTCTATACGTTGTTTTCTCCAGGTTTGTTTGTTTGTTTGTTTGTTTTAGATTAAGTGTGATTAAAAAGTAGCTTTGGGGACTGAAGAATTGATCAGCAGTTACGGATGCTTGCTGTACAAGAGTTCAAATGCTGCCCCAGGTAATAGGAAGAACATCTCCTGCAAGTAACTCAGCACTGAGGGGGATGGAGGCTGACACCTAATAAGAGCTAACACTTAATCAGGCACTTATAATAGACTCATTCTATTGCTCGGTTCTCTTGTTTATCATAGACACAGGCAAGTCTATGGAAGGAAGCCTGAAGGACATGGGTTTTGGCCGAAAGAAATGGCCCTGTGTACAACTAATTCTTTTGAGAAATTAAGAAGATTAGATGGTTATAACCATGTAGCACGGGAGGTACAGTGGTCTTAAACTGGGGAGACTAACAGAGCTCCCCAAGTACGGTTAATTGAGGAGCCTGCAAGGCCGACACCAGTGTCATGAGTGAAGGGGACTGGTAAGAAGTGGAGACCCTGGCCACACACAGTTCCTTTACTCCCCTGGGAGCCTCAGAAATGATCTTCCACTAATCTTCTGCTCCCTTGACCATCCTCAAACAGCTCACTAGCTAGCCCTGTCATCCCCAGCACACTTCCCTTAAAGCACCTAAAATGACCTTTCTACTAGCTTATGATATACGTCTTCAGATTTTTATAGACTAGGTACTCAATGAAAGAAAACACTGAAGAAAACAAGAGTGGGTTAAAGCAACTCCTTCCGTACCAGCTCCAGGAAGCAAAGTTTACAATTCAGTGTCCACCTATAAGAGATTAGGATCAAGGGGCCTTCTGTTCCTGTCCTACCATAAATACATAAATACAGAATGCAGAAAGTATCTCTGAATAACAAAAAAGGGACTAAAAAGACTTATTTTGAGATATAACATACGAATGGGGAACAAGCATTTTGAAACACATCTGTAATCCCAGAGTGAAAGAGCCTGAGGCAGGAGGATTGTGAGCTCCAGCCTGGCCTTGCTACATAGTAAGTTCCAGGCCAGTCTGGACTACATAGTGAACCCTGTCTCAAATCAACCAACCCAGCAATGAATCAATTAGTAATGAATAATTTAGTAGAAAAAGAGAGCATAGAGACATTCTCAAGATTGTTAGTTCAAAAAAAAATTCCACATAATCCATGCCAGCTTACCGTAGAGACCTCGACTTCTTTTTCATAAGGATGTACCCTAAATTGGGGTGGGAAAAGGTGGGAGAAGTTAATGAGAAAATTGCACATGTCATCAGAGACACTCATGACACTTTCTTTTAATCGAGGATGTTGTCTCTGTTTTTGGTTGAACCATCCTTGGGTAACTTTGGGTGATTCTTTCCCATCCCTTGTAGGAAGGAAGGATCTTCTGTCCATTCACTATCTGGTGTAATCATCCACGTAGCCTAATATACTAGAGTGAGGGTGGTAAACTTTTGTTCACTGAGACAAAGTCTCAAATCTGCCTAATGCACTGCTGGGGAACCAGTCCTTGAGGGGAGAATAACAACTTTGGACTAAGGAAGGAAAGCACTTGCGGTATTCTCCTCAATTTCTAAGTAATTCTTCCTTTTAAACACCAGCTCATGTGCAGCCCACGCTAACGTCAGACTCAGAATGCTGGGATAGTAGGCACACGCTACTAGTGCTACCTAAAATAATCATTTCAGAAACACAAGTTCTGAATAACCAGAGGGAAACAGTCTGAGGACTGACGGGCATATTCTTGAATTTTATTTTTATTTATTATCTTTTCTTAGTTTTTCAAGACAGGGTTTCTCCTTGAAATTTGCTCTGTAGGCCAGGTTGGCTTCAAACTCAGAGACATTTATACTTCTGTCTCCCAAGTGCTGGGATTACAGGAATTGTGCCAATCACAGCTAAGAGACAGGCATATCCTTATTTCCCGTTTTCTGCCCAGTCACATGATAGGCCAGTAATGGGCTCGTGTACAGTGTTTTGTAAAGTCCATGGCTGAAGTTCTTACACAAGGAATAGACTTCACAGAGAGAAACACTATGTACAGTTACATAACTCATGGAAATAGCCAGGTAGGCCTGGGTGTCACCTTCAAAAAGTCTGCTCCAGCATTAGACAGGGGGCTTCTTCCCACCAATGTCTCATCTGCCTCTTCTACTAAGTATATTCCAGAACATCAACAGTATCATTATGGGAAACAAGCAAGATCTTAAGGGTAGGAGAGGAGGAAACACATCAATGGTCTGATAGTGACCTAAGAATGTCAAGCCTATCCAATATCTGTTGTGTCATGGTGCTTCATTTCTCTTATGGAGAATATAGTCTTTCCTTTTAATGGCAACAACTGAAAGACAAAGGACAGGGTTAGGAACAAGAGTGTTGCCAAGCACTGCAGCCTATTCCTGTGAGCCCAGCACTGGGATGTTGGAGGCCAGAGGATCTGGATGTTTGGGGACATTCTCAGCTACCTAGTAAGGTCTGTACCAGTGTGGAGTACATGAGATCGAGTTTTACAGAATAGGAATCTTTGGAGTCTTCATAGCAATGGTTCAAGGTCACTGAGAAGAGCACTCACCATGTACCAGAAATCACCTGCAGAGTTTTCTGAGTGCTAACATATGCCTTGGGGAGTAAATGGTTTAACTTGAGTATCTTGGATCTGAGGATATGAAAGCCATGTGAACTCAAAGCCCCCATGGCATGTGCAGGTGCTTAAAGGCAGTCAGAGAGCCCTGGTTCTCCTTCCTCAGGGACAGCTGTGAAATGACTTACTAGTGATAACTGTGGTGCACACAAGCAGCAGCAACAGCAGAACAGTGATGGGGATGTTGATAAAGAAATCCTTCGTCGTGTTATGTGCCATCCCTGAAGGGATTGATTCCTAAGGAAACAATAAATAAAATAACAATAGCAATAAATAAACACAAGGGAGGGGCATCAAGTGAGAGGAGCAGAAAGCACATGCTTGACCTTATCCTAGACACTAGGTCCTAGAACTGCATCTTTACTGGCCTGTGACTAGTCCGGAATATGCAGGAAAACCCAAGAATCTGAGGTGGTAACAGGCAGTGGAACTCAGTGATTTCACCAATGTGAAATCAGTGTCTTTGGTGATGATGGAAACATGGTCTATGTTGCTCGAGGTGATTACATGGGTAAATGCCTCAGTCAAAATTTTAGCCTCATGTGGGTTCAGACATGATATATGTGATTATGTCTGCTTTCCTAGTCTGTAGAAAAAAAGAGTATCTCACCTCTAAGTTAACTGGCTCTCTGTGTGCTCAGCCCCTGGTCTGGTCCTTCATCACAGACCCTACTTGTCTTGTAAATGCAACTCAAGATTCCATATCTTTATAAACATCTAATACCAAATGGTCAGCATGGACATGTACACACAAATAGAATACATACTGAGCAGGTAATATTTAACTAGTATATACAGATTCTTTTCATAACTGCCAGACCAGTGAGTACTAATGCTAATTTAGTCATTATATTTGTAGTGTCAAGATGGGCACGTGACACAGGTCTGCAATCTTAGTACTCAGTAGGCTGAGGCAGGAAGATTATGAATTCTAGGCCAGCCTGAGTTGTGAAAGGAAAGGATGTCTTGATGTGGGTTGTCCTTGTCCTTCTGTATGCTGAAATATGCATTGCTCTTTTTTCTACAGATATGAATAAAGCTGTTTAGGTCAATGGCCAGGCAGAATATAAGTAGGTAGGAAATCCAAAAGTAGATGCATAGAAAAGGAAGGTGGCGTAAAAGAGATGTCATGTAACTGCCAAAGAAGCAACATACCAGGGCATTACCAGGATCCCACAACCATGTGGTGATGCACAGATTAATAGAAATGGATTAATTCACAGGTAGATCTAGTCAATAAGTAGCTTGAGCCACTGGTCAAACAATTATAATTGATATTGAGCCTCTGAGTAATTATTTCATAAGGGGCTTCGGGGACCGAGCATGAAAGAAACTGGCCCAGGGGGGTAGCGGGACAGGGAAACCTTCCTTACAATTCTCATAGATGGGGGGTTCATTATGGTGGGTTTCACACCTACAATTTCTTGAAGACAGAGGCAGTGTCAGGAGTTCAGGGTCATCCCCAGTTATGCAGCAAGTTCAAGGACAACTGGACTTCACGAGACCCTTCTCAATAAAACAAGCAAAAGAAACTTACACTCAGCCTTTCCTTGCTGCATGTTCTGTCAATAGGTATAAAAGCATTAGGCCACTTGGCCCTATATAATATCTCCACCTTGTCTTGAGGGTTTTATTGTTGTTGACCCATTTTTGGAAGCTCAAACCCAGTGATTTGCACATGCTAAAAGGGGCTCTGTTCCTTCCAACAGTCAAATAATCTTCATAATCCCTATTGGGCTTTTTTTCTTATTTCAACCACTATTTCTCCTGCACTTCTTACACAAACTAAAAATAACCTTGTTTCTTCCTGGAGCCAAAAGAGAAAAATTACTATTCAGATATTACCTCTCCTATTTGTAAAAATTGAATTCTGACAAGAATCCTGCAACCGGAGTTCCTTAGATCTTTTTCTCAAGCTTACTATTGAGAAAATCTAGGGGGGAAATTATGCAAAATTGAGAATGTTTAGTACATTAATACTTTATCTGGACTTATGTGTGTGGAAAAAATATCACCAGTGGACTCCAGAGAGAATGGTCAGTGGGTAGAAAAGCAATATTAGAGGACCCTAAATGAACATCTAGAATTCAAACATCCTTTGTAAGTGTCAAACTCTTAATTTCTTTACTTTCATGTATTATTAATTTATTTATCTACAGTTTTTGAGACAGGGTCTCACCATGTAGCCCAACAAACCTAATGGTGCAGGCTCATCTCCAACTTCTGATATCTTGTTCCAATTTCCTTAGTTCTAAGACGAAGGAAGCTACCACTAAGTGACTCCTTTTCTTCTCTTCTTTTGTGATGCAAATATCTATGAACTAATTGTACAGACATAATCTTCAAATGCAAATTGTTTTCTACAAGGTACACAAATGAACATAGCTAATAAATACAGGAGGAATATGCTTACAGTATAATTATTCCAAGAGTCTTCTGAGGATGTCACAGTGTTATTCCAATCTGCTCAAAAAAAGGAAAATAAATTATAAATACAAGAAATTAGATTTTTTTTTTTACTACATCTGCAAATAATACCCCATAAGACTAATATGTCTTATGCCATGTAAGGGACGGGAGTTATAAGGCAGGATATTCACTGACAGAACAAGTTTCAAACATTTAGAAATTTGGAGTATATTTGAAATGTCTAATTTACAACAAGGAATCTATTCTTTTCATTGTTTTTATACGTCCATGAATGAAACACAGAATCCTCTTCCCACTGATATCAGACATATGTGTGTGCGTGTGTGTGCTCGCGTGTGTGTGTGCGTGAGTGTGCGTGTGATATAAGGGTTGTGATGTCCTGACAAAGAACCCCTCACTGCATTTGACAGATAAAGCAGCAGACAGATGACTTCATATTTCTAATTTCAGGAAATGACAGACATCTCAGCAGGCAATGTGCACACAGTGTCCAGTGGAAACACTACAGACCTATGGGAGTCCCCAGCTACTACTAAAGCTGGCATTGCCCAGCACGAATAAAGCTGGATGATCCATAGATTTCCTCCTTTTCACATTACTATGCTTACATTTTGCTCATTCTGAGAGCTCTTCCAAGGAAGATTCCAAAGGCAATGACTACGTTTAGGCAGCATCTATGGTCTAGGCTCTGTTTGGGACTTAAGTAAGATCTTCCAGGAATAATGATGTAGAGCCTGGCATTTAGAGCCCTTTCCTCCCATTCCTGGACATAGAAAAATGACCTTCTGAAATCTCCATCACAACACTGTTTGCAGAAGAAAACTAGTCAGATATGTTTTCTGTAAACTACATCTCAGAGCATTGTTTCAAAAGCGACAGCAGGAAGGGGATGGGGCACTTCTTGGAAACCTCCAGGGATCCATCTTGAGAGCCATCAAAATCACATGTACACTCAATGCAAAGACACCTAAGTGCTCTTCATGGAGAAGTCCATACGTGTGCCCCAGTGTGCCCTGTTCCTTTCCTAAGCATCTCTCTTCTTAGTGACCCTGTGCTCAGGATCTGAGTTAAATCTTTTTTTATTTCTTTTTTATTTTATTTTTTTAAATTTTTATTTATTTATTAAAGATTTCTGATTCTTCCCCGCCACTGCCTCCCATTTCCCTCCCCCTCCCCCAATCAAGTCCCCCTCCCTGGTTTGCCCAAAGAGCAATCAAGTTTCCCTGCCCTGGGGAAGTCCAAGGACCACCCATCTCCATCCAGGCCTAGTAAGGTGAGCATCCAAACTGCCTAGGCTTCCACAAAGCCAGAAACCTTCAACACTCCATCACATTGACTGTCCCTGACATTCTTTCCTTCAAAGAAGCCACCCAGCCTAGCTTGGCCTGAATGGAGGTGTTCATGGAAAGGGACCTCTGGAGGGTGCCATCGGGGTGGAATGGAGCTGTGCCTCTGTCCCTGCCAGCACTTACAATGTCAGATCTGCATTGCTGCAGAGGGCGTGTGCTCTTCAACACCAGCTTTACCAAGATGTGAACCTTCCAGGGGATCAGGCAGGGGGGCATAGTTACCTGCAGGGGTGTAGGATGAAGTTTCTGTCACCTCAGCTGTAGTCTGACTTGGGTAAGATGTAGTGGGTTCTGGAATGAGAACAATGCAAGAACTGTTTCAGCTTTGGAGTTTAGACCTCACTGAGGAAAACAGAAACAAATCTTACCATTGCCTCTCCCAATGCCTACCCCAGCCTCCTAAACAGAAATGACTACTTCCTACTTATTTCCATATTTTCTGACTCCTCTGAGAAATGTACCCAAAGATGGGCACTGCCTGTCATGGTCCCACTATCCTGAGCAAGTGAGATGTGTGTTCTAATATTCTAGACAACTTTATTGATCTTCAGGATTGCTTCACACTTCCCATTCTAGACTCCTGAACTCCTCTGAAGCATAGCTGCTATTAACACACGGGGAACCAGACACTCAGTTAAGATCATGATTTATCAAGTGAAGGGTCATTTCACCTTCTAGGAAGAGCCTGGACGTTTCTCACCCCTCTTCACTGAGGCCTTAGTCAAGAACCAGATTCTTCACACTTCTTTCAGGAAGATGTGCTCACTGGACAGCACGGACTAGATGGACCATTTCATCACTGAGACCCTTCTCAAGGTAGCAGCATCACACTGGTGATGGTTCCCACACTGCAGTCTGCCTTGTATTCCTCTCTCTCTCTCTCTCTCTCTCTCTCTCTCTCTCTCTCTCTCTCTCTCTCTCTCTCTCGGCTTGTTGAGTGACTAAGACAAGCTGTCCTGCCCATATGGATTCACAAATTAACACTTCTCTTCTATCTCAGTTTTCACTGAAGTCAATAACCTATCCATGTTCTCCAGACTCAGCCCATGAGAACATCCCCTGATGCAGGCAGAAACTAAGTCTTGAAAAGTTCTGCCAACTCTGAGAGATCCTCACAGTTGTTCAGTGTGTGCAGCTGCCTGGAACAAAGGGATTTTCTCAAAACTCCTATGCTATGCATAGAATGCTCATGACTGTGGAGTTCTGACCAAGGAGTCAGAAGAATCAGCTTCCAACTCAAGTGAACAGGGAGAGAGTCTGAGCCACTTTCTGTCTCCATAACTTCCACCATGAACTTTCTGACTCTGCCAGTTGCTGTCACTATAAAACAGGGACAGATCACAGCTATATAGGACATACATGTCTGAGAATTAAACACTGCAACATAAAGCATGTAGCATGCTTGCGGGTGGTCAGGAAATGCTAAATGTCAACTTCCCTGAACTATGACCTCAGTTGGAGGCCCAATTTCAAAATGGATAAAAGGGGCAAGGGTCTCCCTAACTTGACCCTTGTTCTCAGTCAGTCCTTAGTTTTTCATCAGAAAGTCGTTCAACTGGGCCAGATTCCTGCCATCGCCATCAGCTCTCCTAGATCAATGACGGGCCTCAGTCTGGCTAGAGTGAATTCCGGGAAATCTGATATAGAGAGATGGCGTCCTTCATGTTCAAGCTCTTACACACCAGAGGATGAATGCAACTTAAGACTGGAAAATTAGAGCTTTTGTGAAGCTGTTGTTGGGACACAGCTAAGGACTCTTCTCCTCTATTATACTCTGTCTTGACTCAGTGTCTGTGTGTCCAACAGACGCTTATAAGAGGGACTCTGGGTCCTGAACCACGTTGGGATTTACCTGGTGTGTGAGTCTGCGTGTGCACTGGTGTTGTAGGAGTAGAGGTGGAGACTCTGGGTGATGCTGGTACACGTGTGGGTCCTGTTGACAGAGTCGTGGGTCTCTCTGTAGTCGTGGGTCTCTCTGTAGTCGTGGGTCTCCCTGTAGTCGTGGGTCTTCCTGTAGTCATGTGTCTCCCTGTAGTCGTTGGTCTCTCTGTAATCGTGGGTCTCCCTGTAGTTGTGGGTTTTTCTGTGGTTGTGGATCTTGTGGGAATTTCTGGATTTGAAAATCAAGATGAAACAGGGATCATTCCAGCAAGAAGACAGAAGAGCTTAACTGTAACACCAGTGAGAAGCTGTCCAGAGATGCTCCTCTCCTTTGTCTTTGGCCAAGTAAGACAGGGCAGGACAGTGGAGACAGCTCACCCACAGGAGGCACCTGCACTGACAGTACAGACATGAGAACAGAACTCATATTCCTAAGGGCACATTATAAATGACAGATGTCAGGTCCTCTGATCTCTCAGCATCTCTGTGACACTGAGAGGGCATGGGGGACTGGGACTTCTCTCAGTGGTGACCAACTTCAACCACAGTTCCCCGGTCCAGAAAGAATGTTCTCTTCAGTAAGTCCTGAGAGAATACAGCATACAGCCCTGCATCTTAGCACACACATCCCACACAAATCCCAACTCAATCCAGTGTGTTTACCTTAAAATGAAGAAAAAACTGTAGTGTTCCTAGTGTAGGGAGATGGATGTGGAGCATCCCCCTTAAATTCAACACATGTATTTATTCATTTATTTGTGTGTTGGTGAAATGTCACAAATGTGGATGTCAGGGGATAACTCTGCAGAGTCTGTTCTCTCCTTCGGCCATGTGGGCCCAGGGATTGAACTCAGGTCACCAAGCTTAGCACTGGGCGCCATTCCCCACTGAGCCAGCTCACTGACCCTCCATCCCTTTCCTATAAAGAGCCAGATAGTAAAGTGTCTTGGGCTCAGGAACTAGAAAACAGGTGTTCAGGAGCAAGCACTATGCCCTTCGGTTTGAAAGTCACTTTGACAACACAGCAAGGAGTTGGTGTGGCTGTGCTGCAATAAAACTATACACACCAGCGAGTGGTCTGGTTAGTTTGCTGATAGTGTCTAATGTGTGGGCATAGGCATGAGCATAATGCAAACCTTCCCTGGAGAGTAGAAATCTCTGCAGGAGAGAACAGCGAGCATGGGAACAATCTAGTCAGAAGATCACTATGAGACCAACTAGGAAGGAAGCAACAGCTCAGGAGCTTTGCTGTTCTTGCTCTGGGGTGTTATTCTCCCAGGTAGATGGGAAGTCCAAAGGAGCCATGAGGGTCCCAGGATAGCTAGAGATGGAGCTCCGGGTGTTTAAACCAAGAGAAAATGTTGACTGAGTTGTTAAAGGGTGAGACAGAGTTGCTGGCTCACTTATGGACTCACCGAGGGGTCACAGTGTCTTTGTAAGCACTCTTCTGTTATGAATTTCTTAGCTTCATAAAACCTTGAATTAATGAACTGAAATTAGTAATTTTATGCTATGATGCTATGCCTATCCCCCTTCTGGTGCTGGGAATCTAATCTCAAAGTTTTAGGCAGGAATGTGTCTTAAGACAATTGCCTTCTCAAACTAAACCCCAGCCCTTACTTGGTTATCAAGTTTGCAGCTCTAGGGACAGAAGTCAAGGCTTCAGAAAGGCTAGACAAATTTCTCCATATCCCCTAGTGAGATTTTTCTTTAGCGATTTGTCTTTGTGTGTGTGTGTGTGTGTGTGTGTGTGTGTGTGTGTGTGCCCGTGAGTGCATGTTTACGTGTGTGTGTCTGTATGTGAAGCTATTTTCATGTGAGTGATTCCCCTTGGAGTCCAGAGTCATTCAACTTCAGTCAGGTAAATAGTGCAATTTCACAACTGTGATGGGCACTTAGAATCTTACTGTCTCCTCCCCCAGCTGTCTCATCATTCTTTGCACATTCTATGATCAGCTTCTTCTGGCTTCATTAAGTAGCCTCCCAGCCATACTTTTCAAGGCAGCTCCTTGCCCCATCAGAATGGACCTCACCCTAACAAGGTATGGTGGCACCTTCCTTTAATCTCAACCCTGGTGAGGCTAAGGTGTGGACAAAAAGATCCAGACCAGCCTGACTTACAATGCAAGACCCAGTCTCAAAATCAGTAAATCAGTCAGTGAACAGAGCCAGAACCATGGCTCAGTGGGTAGAGGCACTTGACTTGCAACCATCGCCAGCTGGTTTGTATCTCTAGAACTCACATAAGGAGGGCTGGAGAGATGGCTCAGAGGTTAAGAGCAGTGACTGCTCTTCCAAAGGTCCTGAGTTCAATTCCCAGCAACCACATGGTGGCTCACAACCATCTGTAATGAGGTATGGTGCCCTCTTCTGGCCTTCAGGCATACATGCAGACAGAATATTGTATACATAATAAATAAATAAATAAAAAATAAATAAATAAATAAATAAGAACTCACATAAGGATATAAAGAGAGCACCAACCCTGCAAGTTTTCCCTCTGACAAATTCACCATGGCATGCAAACCCACCAGACACACATCATCCACAACAGCCACATATTAATAAATGCAGTTTTAAAAATCAAATTAAGCATACAAATAACAAAGTCTATAATTTGAAAGACTTTAGCATAATATCCTTATTTTAAAAATATAGAGACAGATCAGTATTGATTTCTATTGGCTGTATAAGCCCTTGGTAAGTGGAGGTTAGAAACTTCACCAGAAGCCGGGAAGTCTTCACGAATCTACTCTACTCTTCTGGTCAATGCAAAGAAATCAGGATATGTAATTCAAGAAGGAGAATGTAAAGCCTGGTGGTGGTGGAACACTCTAATCCCAGCATTTCAGAGACAGAGGACCTAACCAAGATTGGAACCCCATACTATGTCACTTATGCTATGGTGAACCAAATCACATGACAGGAAACTTCCCTCCTGAATGAAAAAGGAAAGGAAAGGAAGACATGACTATCTACCTATGGTGGAGGAGATGGTTTATCGTAGATATGAGGGAGAAAACAGAGGCACCCAGAAGGTTCCAGAGTGAACATGACCAGCTAACTGAACTGGTCATGTGAGGAGAGGGGAAGCCAGGAGCCAAGAGTGGTGGCCAAGAGCTCAAGATCCCAAAAGGGCTTGTATAACCAAAATGGCTGGGTTATACAGGGAAGAGCAGGTGGGGGAAGGGGAGCCCAGCTGAGTCCCTGGGCTGGAGAACTGAGAGAAGGGGTGGGGTGCACCAGGTACTGGCCTTACTGAGAAAATGGCAGCCAGTGTCTGCTTTGATATGTTAGTAAACACCTTAGTTAGCCTTCACCCTGGGACCTTGCACCTAGGACCAGTACCACTAAAAGATTATAACAAGTCAGACTTTCCCCTTGCTCTGGGAGACCTGCCTGAGACTCCT